TCTATTCTATCGAATACTTTGGTATAATCAACCCAAAGCATTCAGGCATATTGTCCTAGAGTGTCAGTCTGCCTTGCAATAAGGTCTATGGCTTCGATCAGTGAGTATGTCGTACAAGTCCCTTTCATGCTGCCGAACTGCCTAAGGTCTTATTGGTCACAATGTTCTAAATCCATTTAACAATAAAAACATTCAATAACTTAGAGAGCGCCGGAGTTAGAAATATGGGTCTAATGTCCAGGCCTTCCCAACTACCAGACTCGGCACCTACGGGTCCAGTATAAACCGGTTTATCAGACCACACTACCCGTTTTCAAGGTGTGTGTCAGATCGCATTACAGAGTATCAGCCACCACACCGATTTTGCCTGGTGCGCGATGTGATAGCAATGATCCTAAGCGGGGTTGGAAAGTAGTGCATCTCATCTAGATTCATGCGCTGCTGCAATTTTCTCTGTTTATGCTAAAATCTGAGAGTATCGCAATTTTTAACATAAAATTTAGTTTCGGACATAGCCAATGATGTTTTGTAAATAAGAACTTGCAAACTTATATATTAATTTAGAAAAGTAGACCTAATTTTGATAGCGGAAGCATATTCTGTCGGGGGTTAAATATTTTCATGACTACCGGGATGGACGAGATTGAGGGCAGGGGTAATCCTAGAGAGGGGTGAGAAACGTCCATTGTTCTCGTCAACGAGGCCACTGGCGGTACTAGTAGATATCAGCCTGTAGTCTTGAACAAGCGCCTCGATGACGAGTGAACAGTTGTCAAAAAACAAAAGACCCAGGTGTGGTAGTTCAACTACTGTCCATGCGTGCCGCAACGACCAAACCTAATTCCTCCTCAAGGTCACAAAACAATAACCGGTACTGACGGCTAGGCTCGTCTTAATCATATAAGTAGCGCGTTTCCACTCCTTGATTGAGGGAGTCGTCTGTTGTATTCATACGACTCCTACTTGACGAAAACGAGGCGCGATACCCGGATGACAGGTAGGCTTACAGAATTTGTGATAGGGTATGATACTCTTTTATGCGATCTTACACACACCTTGAAAACGGGTAGTGTGGTCAGATATACCGGTTTATTCTGGACCCGTAGGTGCCGAGTCTGGTAGTTGGGAAGGCCTGATGTCTGTTTCTGTGATGTTTGGAGGAGTGTACTTAGGTAGTGGTGACACATATGCATGTTTCCAGAGTGGTGGGACATATCCTTCACGAACTGATGAGTTAAATATAACACATACTGGGGCGGCTAGGTACTCTGCTAGGTCATGTAGGATCTAGTTGGGAATTTCGTCGTGAGCTGTAGACTTGTGTACGTTTACTTAAAAATTGCGTTAAATTACTATACGAGGAAACAATTTGGTCGTCATCATCATCAAGTCTGCATTGTCAATAATACTTCCTTTCTCTTCACGCAAGTCCTTAAAAATGCTGACTAGGGGAAGATCATTGAACTCTATCCATTCCCAGGTAAGCCACAGATCAAACTTGAATTAATTCAATAGCTGACCCGATATGGCGCCATGCATGTTATACTGCCCTTTCATCGAACATTGCTATCTTCACGGTGGGATAATCAGGAAAAAAATCCTTTCTTATAAAAGTCACGTTGTTGCTATTGCTTTACCCATGCATGCATTCTTTGAGTACAAAGACTACTCAAAAGTAAAACCGTCAAAGTGTGAACCGCTTTGGATCTCAACGTGCTCTGTAACGCCACAGGTGAAGTTAAACGTGACCTCAGTGTAGAACAAAATGAAAATAAAATCATCTAGCTGGGAACAATATAACAATATGAAACTGAATGCAAAAACTCCGGCATCCTCAATTTTTCATTTGCTGCTTTGTACAAATCTTCATTTTGATATTTTGAGGGTTTTTTTTGGGTGGTGGGGAGGGGTCAGGCCACATAGATATTATGAATCCATTCAGCTTCAGGGTCTCGAACTCTTTTGTATAAGACTTTTTTTATCGCAGATTGTGTTTTTCTCATTGCATTTGACGCAAAGACCGCACATCTAACACAATAGTCTACAATGACTGCCGCCACGGTTGTAGCACATCTAACGCAATGATTGCCGCCACGGTTGTAGCACATCTAACACAATGAATGCCGCCAGGGTTAAAACACATCTAACGCAATGACCACCGCATGTATCAAAGATAAAGATAGTACAGATTTATTTAATTGTGCCTCAATTTATTTCCAATTTATTGTTTAAATTCTTAAATTAAAATTTTAAATAAATAAATTTAATGTATTTATTCGAAAGAGCATGTGTGCTTTTTGTATTTGTGAATCAACTTTTAATTTAATTAATTAATTTATTTATTAATTTCTATTTATTTTTTTAATAAATCCCCAGTGAAATTCCTGATATGTTAGTTCTCAAGTATAAACATACTACGTATGCTTGATATCATTTCATAATCCTTCAAAGCTTTTAATAATTTTAATAAAGCTTTTAAAAACGAAAGTACAGTGAAAGGAAAAAGAAAGAAATATTAACTAATTATTCAAAAAAAAAAAAAAAAAAGGATTTGCACACTACATCAAAATATATGTACCTCTTATTACAACACGTAAAATTTAACCTCCACATGTATATAAATACCCCCCCCCCCCGCAATAATCCCACTTGAGTACACAAAATACATCAATCCTGTCTATCTTCAAAATCAATACATCAATCTTAAATACATTAAACTATGACAAAATTCAAGAATAATTAGCATAGAACCGAAATAGTAGCTTGCACCCCTACAAATTACATATTCATTGTCCATGCTCGTGTGTCCATTCTTCATTATATTTGATTCTCCAGTGGGCGTTGACCCATATGTCTATAAATGTCCTTGGCCAGGCCAAGGAATGTGAAACAAAGTGGCGTCCAGTGCTCCCCTTGCTCCGCATCAGTGACCTGATAGAAGGAAAAAAAGCCTCATGCAAAAGTAAGTGTTCTCTCTCTTTCTGACCACTGGTCATCAAGTTGGGTAATCAGTCATAACCTGGAAAAAAAGAGAAGTGACACAATTTAAACATTTTGGTCTTTTTAAGATTTCAGTAAATACAAAGTACATTATTTTGTTATGGGAATTGAAAAAAAGGGGACAAAACAGTTGGGTATGAACTAGCCAGTGCCACATTTATTCCTATAATTGCTGCAGTTTTGCCGGTGTAACACTTACGTTTACGGATTAGGCCACCTGTAGAAAGGTTTTTGTGTAACCTGTGGCCAACCCTCGAGGAAAGGTGTGTCGGTCCAATCACGTCCGTCATAATCTCCGCATATTCCGTCCACCCACTGACACCATACGCGAGGTATGTTAATCTGCAGACAGTGTCTGGCCACGAAGATCTTAATGTTGAGCATTTTTCACCACCAAACTGACAGAAACTACTCTAGGTTCTAGATTTCAGCTTTGCCAGCTCAATCTCGATTTCATATATAACTCTATCAACAAAACTGGCTCTAGCCACTACCGTCAACCTTGAGGCGTTCTTCGGCAAAATTCTGCCTGGAGCGCTTCCATATTTGGAAGTCACAAGTCTCTTATGTCACACAGCTGTATCCGCTTGTAGCTCCATATTTGGAAGTCACAAGTCTCTTATGTCACACAGCTGTATCCGCTTGGAGCTCCATATTTGGAAGTCACAAGTCTCTTATGTCACACAGCTGTATCCGCTTGGGGCTCCATATTTGGAAGTCACAAGTCTCTTATGTCACACAGCTGTATCCGCTTGGGGCTCCATATTTGGAAGGGGGAAAAAGGGGGGAAAGAAGGGGGAAAGGGGAAAAAACCAACACTGGTTCAAGTCCTAGAAATGTAATTCTTTTTTTTTTTTCTTTCAATTTTTGAATTTTTCGATTATTTTCTGTTTTTAATACACATCATTTATAAATATTTCTCAAGATTAAAAGAATAAGATATAAAAAAAAAACATACATACATACAAAGGAAAAAATAGATATGATTAATGCATCTTTGTAATCTTTTTTTCTTTCACTTTTGAAATTTCTCAATTTTCCCAACACCGCCGTCTTGGACACAGGCAACTGCTTGTTCACCGGTGCGAGCTCTAGAGCGCGACTAAAATTTCGTTCAGCAGAAGAATATTGTATCTCCTGGGCGGAATTATTTGCTTGTCAAAATTTGCCTCGTCTCAATTGCTACAATGAAAAGTGCATCAGTCTTTACACATTTGACATTTTTAACGCTTAATTCCCTCTTCTCAGAGGCTTGCTTAAACTAAAACCGTCCCGGTGAGAACCGCCTTTGATACCATTGTGCTATTTAACATCATATATAGGTAAAGCGAACACTTTCCAGCTTCTCAGACAAGGGCCAATGAACATGATTAACATCAACGTTCATAAGAAGACCATGTTTGTGGACTGGTGTGGCTCGGGGACAAATGCGACAACGTGGCTTTCGATTGTTATTACGTGTATATCCAAATTGGACCGCTCCTTTTGAAGGTAGAAAGTTTCCATTTGAGCGCATGAATTCTAAGCTAGTGTGTATGGCTCCGTGGTAATACCGCAGTCGTGTTCACAGTTCAAGAGCGCGACTTTGACTCTTTATAGCCTGAGATAATTTTCAAAATTTGCCTTTGATTACTATAAGCGGAAACACGTACGTGCGGAGTCCGGGCGGGTCCCTCCCGGCACAGTTAATAACGTGCAGGGTTGCAAACTAAACCGAAAGCTGTCATCAACCATGGTTTCGGAGAGTCAACTTTCAGGTTGATTGGCAAACTGTCACCAGAAACCACTCTATAAACTTTTTTCTGAACACCAGACAGGCGTAGGCAGGTTACCATAGTAGTCTACCTGTACCTCTGTAGAAGCTTCTGTGAACTGTACAACTTCACGCTGTACTAGACCAAATCCAAGTTATAAACTTTCAGTACACAAGCCGTTTGTAAAGTAATGATAATGTATATAACTGATAAAAAGATATAAATATTTATACTTGAAAATAAGTTTTATTGTATAAATGATATTTTCACATCAATAACAACACTGGTCCCCAAGAACATACTCCACTAAATTGTTCCCTTCTTGCTCCATATTAATATCCTAATATTTGTTCATTTATTTTTAAAAAGCAGTTCTTTTTCCTCTAAAAATAATTCTTCATCCTCACCTATATAACTGTAAAACCTGTAATGTCCTTGCACATTTCTTTTAAATGTTTTATTCCCTGCCCCCAAGTCACCCTGCCTATATCATATAATATCAAAAAATTAATAAAATAAGTAGAAAAAAAGCTAAAAAATAGCACCAAGTAGATGATAGAAATATCATTACATACAAAACCTCAACCTCAAACACACATATATCATAAGAATAATAAAGATTTAGTATTTGGTAAATTGATGGTGAGATACATTGCAAGACCATAAAATACCTTTTTATAGTCACTAATTTTTTATGCTGTCGTCTCTTTTAAAATCTTAAGCTTGTCTTTGTCACAAAATATATATGCAGTAAAAGAGATGTTTACAAATATTTAAAATCCTTTCAAAAATAATTGTATTTCTTATGAGTTGAACTACAAGGGTTGTATTAATGCGAACCCCTTATTCCCAGGAACAGAGCCAAATAAATTTTTAGCAAAATGATAATTGTATTCCTTCAACAGATCAATGCATCCACACACATTTGTAGGGATTTGAACTTGGGGCTGGTAAACACCTCCCCAGTTTTTCACATCCTATGGGTTTCCAGTTCTGAAATGAAAATAAAAGTTAAAAGTAGTTAATATATAAACAGTTATTTTCTTAACAAATCCAAATGTTTTTTGAAGTGGGAAAGAAGTATAAATGCCAGAGTCAATGTTGTTGATATAGTGAGTTTATTAGTCTGAAAACTACAAAGTCCACCCCCAATTCCTAAAGGGGGTCTTGGTGATTCAGACTTTTCAATAAAAAAAGAGTCAGAGTTTCCCTGAAATTTCACCAATTATGGACATGCTGCGAAAATGAGGATTAATTGAAATATTTTCAATATAATTTTGGGAAAAAACTGCTAAGGCCCCTTTTATAACCAGTTGATATACGAACTAGTAAAAATAATCCAAATGTAATAAAACACTATCAAGTCCATCAATTTGATGAGAAAATTCCTGCAATTCAAACTAGAGCTGACCATTACTCCCGTGTCACACCAGTTCAACTGAGGCTGACCGGGGTGCAAGTTGGTCTTATGATCCCTGACCACCTTGCTTATCTTCTTCATGGCACTGTGATACTCTATGGAATTAGGACTGAAACAAGAGATAGATGAAGATGAATGTGTATTGTCATAGATGAGATAGTTTTTGTAGGTATTAGAATGTGTTAGTTGAGACAGCTGTGCCAATGGAAGGTAGGTATTAGAATGTGTTAGTTGAGACCGCTGTGCAGATGGAAGGTTGGTATTAGAATGTGATAGTTGAGACAGCTGTGCAGATGGAAGGTAGGTATTAGAATGTGTTAGTTGAGACAGCTGTGCAGATGGAAGTTTGGTATTAGAATATGTTAGTTGAGACAGCTGTGCAGATGGAAAATATGTATTAGAATGTGTTAGTTGAGACAGCTGTGCAGATGGAAGGTTGGTATTAGAATGTGTTAGTTGAGATAGCTGTGCAGATGGAAGGTTGTAATGAAAGGTATTCTGCAGTACTGAAAAGTTGATGTAACATGTCACCCTAGATCTGCTCCAGTGGCAAAGAAACATATTACTTATTTTTTTAGAAGGGTGAGGGGTAATAACCATTTAATGCTTATTTCAGCTTTAAAAAATTACTTAATAAGTGTTAGTGCGAGCCTTATGCTTGAGTGCTGATAGCAAGTTGTGCCAGGAAAGGAATCCAAGTTAATTTCTTGAAAAAACCTGGTGACAATTGAAAGAACAATTTACAACCAACCTTATGGGATATCTCTCTCCTAGATCTCTCCCAACATGGAACAGAAGGGGCTGAGACGTGTGATTTCTCTGATCATGAGTTGTAACATTGATGACATTTTCTCCTCTACAAAAATCTATACCCTGAAAGTATACAAAAGAAATTTTAAATTTGTCAAATTCTGAAAACAAATTAATAAAAGATCACCGACATTTAAAATCACGAGGTAGCAAGAAATAATCCAGGCTAGATTTTACGTGTATGACCTGGCATTAACAGTATAATGACATCATATCAATGTGCAGAATTAGACTGTTTCACAAAATGTGAAAAAAAAATGCTCAAGTTTTAAATCAATAGTATCCTCTTTTCGTATAAACTATTCTCTAGACTAGTACAGTCAGTACAAAATAATTTAAAGTTATAGCCAACTTTTAATACAATAAAGAAGCAAACCATTTATATAATAACAATATGTGTGGTCAATAACAATACAAATTAGGGCTTTAAAAGTTAAATAGGATTATATATGTCAGTTATGAATTAACAGTAAATATGAGTTACTCACACATTAAGGTTTAGACTGCCATAAATTGAAAATGTCTAAAAATATGGCATGGGATCTGACCCCCCCCCCCCCCTTTTTCATTGCAGATCTGCACTGATCTCAAAATCTGCCAACAGCCTGGAAAAACTCATCCCTGGACATTTCTCTGTTACACGGATGCGTCCAAGTTGCTCACCTGCCTGAGTTCTTGCAGTCCATTGGTCCACGTCCAGTAATGAGCTTTGTACATGCCCAGTCTAACTGCCATCATCTCATTCCCACGGTAATAAAATATTGGTCTGAAAAATGATATAATTTGTACATGCCCAGTCTGACTGCCATCATCTCGTTACCACGGTAATAAAATATTGGTCTGAAAAATGATATAATTTGTACATGCCCAGTCTGACTGCCATCATCTCGTTACCACGGTAATAAAATATTGGCCTGAAAAAATGATATAATTTGTACATGCCCAGTCTGACTGCCATCATCTCATTACCACGGTAATAAAATATTGGTCTGAAAAAATGATATAATTTGTACATGTCCAGTCTGACTGCCATCACCTCATTACCACGGTAATAAAATATTGGCCTGAAAAATGTGGATAGTCTCATACATATCTTCAAGCAATCATCTCAAACTCTAAGCAAGAATCTCTATAGAACTCTTTGGGACTCCCTTAACTTTCTATGGGAAATCTTTTGAATCTACTTAGTGCCAAGAGTTGGCTCCATCCACGGACTGATAGATCCGATAGACTAATAGACTAATGGTGTCCACAGACATGGGGGGGGGGGGGGGGGGTAAAATACCCCCCCCCCCCCAAAAAAAAAAAAAAAAAAAAAAAAAA